TCTTCCATTCCCAGTGCATATACATTTTTTTAAAGTGCAAAATGAAAACTATTGACTACTCTCTGTGCTAAACTGCAAATGAACACAATTTATATTCAATGCTTGACAGCAGAGGTCGTGGATGTACTCTCAGGGTGAACCAGCAGAAATCTCCGGAATACATCACTCCAACTCGAGGCTATATAGATCAAGATGACAATGAGATGCCACATAACAAACATTAAATCACCATTACACAGCACAGCACCTAAAGGTTCAAGACTCAGACACTTTCACTCCTGCACACTTACAACACCTCAAAGATTTTTAAATTACAACTTTCAAAAACTGCTGCAAATAATTGGATTGACATTTTGTGCCTAACTATAAAAATTCACTGACTGAAAGACTTAAAATGTTCCTACATATTTATTTCACAAAACATATACCCAAGCATACTTTGTTGTCATGGCCTTAACTGCAGATTGCATGTGAGACTGAACGGAAATGTGAACTGGGCAACTTCAAGGGGAAATTTTGGTCTTCCTTGCTGAATTGCAATGGTGTAAGAAGGGAAGTGGCACCTTAAATGTGCAGAGAGGCAGTTTGCACATGTACAGGACAGCCATGTTTGAACCCGAAGTGAGCCAAATTGTGCCAAATCAGGCATTCACAAATAAACCAATAATGACACAATTCAGATCACTTCAGGCTCTCAGTTCAGTTCTGCACTCACCCAACTGCGCTATCACGGGTGTGTATACCTACTTTGTTGGAGTGAAATCCTGGATCTTTACAACAAAATTATTCACCATTAGCAGTTTTAAGCACGTTTTTGACATCCTCATGCATTGCAACCAACCTTGACAATAAATGACAAAAATTCTGATTCATAGAACCCTACAGTGTGGAAGCAGGCCATTCAGCCCATTGAATCCACATCAACCCTCTGAAAAGCACCCAAGCCCAGCCCATGTTTATAACCCTGCATTTCCCATGGCTAACCCACCTAGTCTGCACATTCCTATGAGGGCACTATGAGCAATTTAGCATGGCCAGTCCACCTAACCTGCACATCTTTGGACTGTGGGAGGAAACCAGAGCCCTCAGAGGAAACTCACGCAGAGAATGTGCAAACTCCACATACACAGTCACCCAAGGCTGGAATTGAACCCAGGTCGCTGATGCTGGGAGGCAGCAGTGCTAATCACTGAGCCACTGTGCCACCATCTGAAGTGATCTGAATAATGCCATTATTGGTTCACTACAATATTTTAACTTATTATTTGCTGCAGATGTTTTTTTTTTTAATTTTGATTTTAGTAATAACAGCAGGAAACATGCACTGCATCTCATTCTCATCTATAACAATTGCACAATTTCTGCTAGAAATCTGAAGTTGAAGTTCATGTAAATAAATCCAGTGTTCCACATCAAACTGGCAGCTGTCATTTCCATAGACGGTTCAGTTTCCTTGAAGTGGGGATATTACTACTTGGCACATCTCAAATTCTTATTTACATGTATTATAATTCAACCGATTATCAAATATCAGGGTATGTTCTGAAACTATCCTTATATCATCCTGATAATTGCAATTTATGACTGGTGACTTCCACTGTTTCATTGTTTTCCAAGGGATAGATTCAAAAACTAGCATCATTTTAAGCTGAATTTTCATCCAGTTGTCTGATTGCACCCACAGTGAAAATCTGGCTTGAATTTTCTCAGATAGTGGAGAGTCCGTACAATTTGACAGATGACCCTCAGATCTATCCTGCCTTCATACTCCACGGAAAACATTTTTGCCAGCAGGTTGCAAAGAAACTCCCAAATGTAGAAAACAGGCCTAAGCAAGGGCAATTGAATATTTCTGCTGGAGCACTGGCCCCATCCTGTGAGTTGTGAATTTTTACGGTAGGAGCAGACGAAAAAGTACATTACTGCTCCAGAGACGGACGATCTGTTGGATGAAGCAATTCAGGAACTTGCTACATTCTTTGAGTATAGTGCCAATGACAGTGAAGTCTCTACTGTCTCCTTCAAGGAGTTGCATTCTTTTTGAAGTGGAAGAGATTAATTTGTCTACTTGTTCCACCAATCCTAATATCATGCAAGAACATGCTGAAAGCTCTTTAAGGAAGATAATCTTAAATGCCAAATTAATGCCCGAGTCCATGCCTCTATAGTGTGGCGACTGGGTCACAGTCAGTCCTTTGGCTCCTGGTGCCCTGTCCAGGGGGAAGGCTAATGCAGACAGGGAGATGTGAAGCTACCTGTCTTGGCTGTTCTTGTTTGGAGCTATCTGGCTAGGTCGCTTGTGGAGGGATCACGATCAGTCCATTCAGTAGCAGCAGTGTTTACCATCTAAAAGGGGGTGCTAGCCAATTGGATACAAATTGGCTTGAAGGTAGGAGACAGAGGGTGGTAATAGAGGATTGTTTTTCAGACTGAAGGCCTGTGAACAGCGTGTGCTACAAGGATCGGAGCTGAGTCCACTGCTGTTCACCATTTATATAAATGATTTGGATGTGAATATAGGAGGTTTAGTTAGTAAGTTTGCAGATGACACCAAAATTGGTGGTGTCGTGGACAACGAAGAAGGTTACCTCAGAGTACAACAGAACCTTGATCACATCGGCTGATGAGCTGACCAGTCGCAGATGGAGTTTAATTTAGATAAATGTGTGTTGTTGAATTTTGCTAAGGCAAACCAGGGCAAAACTTACACAGTCAATGGTAGGGCCCTGGGGAGTGTTGCTGAACAGAAAGATCTAGGGGTGCAGGTGCATAGTTTCTTTAACGTGGACCTACAGGTAGAAAAGGTGGTGAAGGAGGTGTTTGGCACACATACTTTTATTGGTCAGTGCACTGAGTGTGGGAGTTGGGACATCTTGTTGCAGCTTTAGAGGGCATCGGCAAGGCCACTTTTAGAATACTGCATTCGATTCTGGTCTTCCTACTATAGGAAGGGTTCAGAAAAAATTCACAAAAATGTTGCCAGGATTGGAGGGTTTGAGTAATAGGGACAGGCTGAATAGGTTGGGGCTTTTCTCTGTTCTCTGTTCGACAACACTACCCAGGGCCCCACTATTAATTGTGTAAAACCTGCCCTTGTTTATTTTACCAAAATGCAATACCTTGCATTTATTCAAATTAAACTCCATCTGCCATTCCTCAGCCCATTGACCCAATTAATCAAGACTTTTTTTGTAACCTCAGATAACCTTTTTCACTTTCCACTATATTTGGTGCCATCCGCAAACTTATGCACGCTTCTTATATTCAAATCCAAATTATTTATGTAAATGATAAACAAAAGTCGACCCAGCACCGATCCCTGCAGAACACCACTGGCTACAGACCTCCAATCCATAAAACAACCCTCCACCATTACCCTCTGTCTCCCACCATCAAGCCAATTTTGTATCCAATTGGCAAGCTCTTACTGAATCCCATGTGATCTAACTCTACTACCCAGTCTGCCATGCAGAACTTTGTCAATGGCTTATTGAAGTCCATGTAGACAATGTGTACCACTCTGCCCTTATCTATTTTCTTGGTCACTTCCTCAAACATACACAAGTTTGTGAGACATGATTTCCCTTGCACAGAGCCGTGCTGGATACAGCAGAAGAGCCTGGCATGATTTTATTTCAGATGCAGAATTTCCATCATTTGCATCAAGTGGTTAATCAGGCAGCTATGTAGCAACTTGTAGTACTCATCAAGAAAAAGAATATGACAATATTTATTTATATAACACTAATCGTGCCCAAGAGGGATATCTGAGAATGACTGAGGGGGAAAAAAGGGGGGGTTTTACTTAATTCAGGGTGACAATGGATTGGTTAATTGGCTTCTCATGAGCTACTCACTTGAAACCTGACTTATGATATTGCTAGATAGACCTCAACACTCCTTGTTGTGAAGCACATTCAAGATAGTTGCATCTCTATAAACAAGACACTTAACACGCTAAAGTAATGGTTACAGTAACTGGATGGCACCAGGATACCTACTATTCCCTGAAGAGAGTTATCAGAATGTGAGAGATATTTTTATGCTGCATCACATTATCATGGAAAGGGAATTATACTTTATTTCTTTTCTTTTGGAAAAAAAGCATAAACAGCTATGAAATGAAAAGGTTGACCTGATAGAATCAGAGTTTTCAGTGTCAGGATTGACACTGATTTACCAGGTACTGACTAAAATCTGCCTGAACGGTTATCGGGGAGCCATGCCATATTACTGCAGATTATTTGGAAACAAAATTTTGAGCAACAGCGGTGGAAGAGTTCAACATGTCTTTATTTCAGCAATAGTGAACATATAGTATGTTTAATGTTATGAAATGGTGTCCTTTTCTCAATATACATATAGAAAGGAGCAGTCTTCATTCTACTTCATAAAGATTTCTTAAAATTGCCAACCTTTGCTGTGGTGGAGGTGGGTGCATTAGTCTTTAGATTACCTGTCAATCTTAGCCTGCACTATTTTGAATGTTAGAATGTTCAACTGTCTGATATCAGATGTTCTTACCGCTGGCCTCTGCCAGTCTTATGCTAAATGATCTGTAAGAAGCAAGTGGAAGCTCAGTTAAGAAGCTAAATTTGCTTTGATAAGTTTTTCAAATTAAATGACTTCCACCATACAATGAGAAATTTTCCCACCCACCTTATTGAATCTGATATGGGCCCAGTATGAACTCAATAGATAGGATAACATGAATCTAATCATTTTCAATATTATTTTGCTTGTATTAATGCTACAGCATATTTGACTGTCTAAAGCATGTAACTGTGCTGCAGCTAAATTCTCACATGTATTCACAAAATACATTCTACAATGTGCTAAGCTTTGTAATGAAACCATACATCAACACAAATTACATGTCTCCAAACACACCTATCACATAAATTTGTTAGAAAATACAATTCAACAACAACATTTTTAAATAAAGGACATAAGTCATACTTCAAGATGTTTTAAAATTTGTGCTAAGTAAATAGCCTTACCTTTGTGATGTGCTTTTGTATTTCTGTCTGTAAGAAAAATGTTACATTAGCTTTACTTGCCCTTCAGCATAAAGACATATCGTGAAATGATTACAATCAGAATAGGTAAAGATTATAATCCCAAAATTCCACGAGCCAGAAGAAGCAATTCCGTGGTATAATGTCTGTAGGGCAGTGATTGGTTGAATTGGAATTTGGGATAGAATTGAAACTAGCAGAATTCTGCCAATGTTCAGCTTGTTGGGAAATCCTATCACCTTTCAGTGTAACGCTATAATGTTCACATCCACAGAACAAGGGTTGGAGGGTTAGCAAGAACTGCAACTCAGAGGTGATGTTCAACATCACAAAACACCCTGATTCCCGCTAAACCAGCAGATACAACTAGAAATCAAAATACTGAGGGAAGCTGGAAATCTGAAACAAGAACAAAATCTACTGGTGATACTCAGCAGTGCTGGTAGCGTCTGTGAGGGAAAAAACAGAGTTAGCACTTCAGATCGAAAAGCTTTCATCAAATATTAAGTAGTTCTCTCTCCACTGATGCTACCTGACTTACTAAGTATTTCCAGAAGAATAAGCCAACAATTTTTAAACAACCTGCTGGAACCTGCCCAGGCTACTGCTGAAGCATGTCAGGCAGACAGAACAGACCTGCTTGGAAGCGCAGCGACTTCCCATTCAACGTACCTGCCCTCAGGATTTATGATTATCTTAGGGATACTGGGATTGGAAAAATTGCAGCTTTGCTTCATGCCAGATGTGCCCCTCAACTGAGTTATAACTTCAGAACTGATTTGTGCAAAAAGAAAGTGAAACCAATGAACAAAAGGAAAAGAAAATCTGAAAATGAAAATTCAACTTGGGAGCTTGTTTGAGATATTAAACTTATTTTGCCTCAAACAAAGCATAGATTATAGAGTAATCCCATTTCAGCCTGTAACAACTAGATATATTATGTGTCTAATTACCTTTTAAAGACATTTTTATCTTGCATTGTGTGAAAACTTCAACTGTATTATCCCAAAATATTGTATTGATAAAATTATGTATGTAATTATATGCAATACTACATTTTATCAAAAGCTTACATTGGCATTCAATCAAAATATGAAGCTTGGCTGAGCCTGCACTTATCTCATGCTAATGATAAGATCCACCGTAGCAATTTGCAGATCTCTTTTTGGTCTGACTCTAGAAATTGCCACATTGTTATGCTACACATCTACTAGGAGCTACAGTGGAGTAATTATTTAGATGTTGTTTTAGTCACCACACCCAACATGATGTTATTTTCCCATCAAGGAATCCAATTTTCAGCATCATCGCTTGCCCTAAGTCTTAGTTGCTCAGATAAAGAGGAAAACGAAGCTTCAGTAACAATTGCAAGTCTCAACTGTCTTTCATTAAACATGATTTAAAGAGACAGTTCAATCACCAGCTCCAGTAGATAGGCAATTTATTTCATCAGGAAAGACATGAGGTTGCTTCGTCATTTTCAAATGCACTGGACCAAGATTACTATTCTGCTTAAATAATTACACCCAAAACAGTTTCCTTGATGAAGTCAACCACAGTTTCACATTATTGGAAGCATGGATTCAATGAGGACAGAAAATGATTTTGTGTTTTGAAAGAATTTCTCTTAGAGGGTTCCGTTCATCTACGTCAAATAAATGAATCTCATTTTCTAGACTCCTTACTTTATATTACTAATGAAAGACTAATGGAAATCATTTAAATATACTCAAACATAACAAATTTGTATTTAATAACTGTAGAATGAAATGTGGGCCTGTTTGACTTCAAGTGACAAAATCAGTGACATTCATTTTAAATTTAGTTGTCCAATAATACCCAGCCAGCATCGGGAAGGTGTGTCAGAAGGACGCCGAGTTGGCATATTGTGATGTCAGTCAGAGCCGAACTGATTTAAATCTGGTAGCGTAACTTTTGACTCAACACTTCATCTAAAGGATTCTCTTAACTTCAGATAGCTGTGTGTGCATTTTGCAGCAGAAAGGGACCCCTCCCTCTCCTCACCCCCACAGCATTATTTCTGGGGAACCATCAATTGCTTTCAGGCTAATTTCTGAGTAAAATCTAATGGATATTGAAAAGGTTTGACCAAAGTGCCTGGGGATTTGGGTAGCTAAAAATGGTAAAGTTGGAGTGTGTAGTGCGTGGTTTGACACACGGTGAAGGCCTTGGTTCTGCTCTGAAGTGTTCTGCTCAGTCATATGTGCTGTATTTTCTATCCCTATTGGTCTGTAGACATCACAAGCAGAATTAGTAGAGTGGACAAAGAAGAGGTCTCTCAATGTCAGGACGTATATACCCAGGGTCCTCAGAACACATTTTCCTATTGCAGTAAGAAATAGTGAGTGTGCAGACAAACCTGCAACCTCAGAGCAGGAGAATGATCCCTGGCTGAAAAGGTACCTATGATGAAGAACGTCTTTGCATTGAGCTCCTCCCAGGCTGGAATGGCCAATATCCCCAATAACTCACAATTTACCATTCATTGATGTTTAAAAGAATTATTCTCTATGCAAGAGAGGGAAATAAATTGCAAACATTTTTTTTCCAAAGAGAAGCAGATTGACCATGAACGTTGCTTCACCAGGATAAAAGGCTACCTTATGGCAGAAACTGTTGGTGACACATGATATACTTCTTTGCTAACAGTGCATGTTAATTCAAGGCACCACAAACATAGAGGAATCCATTCCCTCAGTGGGTATGCAACCACACTCTACAAATTGTGTTTGTCAATGCTTGCTACCTGCAGAGTCATGATTCTGAACATATCTGCTTGACCCTCAGCAGGTGAACCAAGGTGAGAAACAAGGAAATGGCTATTGGGTGATAATGGCCATTTGCTGATCACCAGGGCAATAACTCTGTTGGCTTTACCTGTCCTGATACTTTGACCCTAGTGTCTGCAGTACAACTAGCAGAAAGCTGCTGACTTTCAGTAGGGAGACTGCACATGATTTTGCACAGGTCTGGCCCAAGAGTGCCTTGGCCACACCATTTCAGCATTGGGGGAGCAGTTTCCACTGCTCCACTGTAGGCAACTTCAAGAACAATGTCAGAATGAAGGTGTTGAGAGAATGAATGCTGTTATTCTGGAACAGAACAGTAGGTTCTCAGGGCAGGTCCTTTGGAGATATTGCCATTGCACAGGATATTCAAGATGTCCAGGTACGGTACATGGGTTTTCATCCAACATTTCAGTGGATTTATCCATCAGCACTTTTCTGTATACTGCCATATTGAATTCCTCCTCTGAGATCTACGAACCAGAAAATATGTCTGTCCTTGGCCTCCAGTGACTCAGTGCCCGTGTGCCCTTTGCTATTGGCCTCTCAAGACTGGTGTATCATCACTGTTGCCACCTCTAATTTACATACTGTCAATATCTGACCTGGCACCTCCAAAAGTTAGTGAGTGATGGCATTTACATAGAAGATAGAAGCAGAAGTAGGTGTAAAGACCGTACGTTTTTGGTTTTCTGTATTCTCAATTGTGGACTGAAATGGGTAAAGGACTGTTTTACAAAAACAAAGATTGTGGAAGGGACTGTTGCACTTTTTAGAAGCAAATTACTGAAACTCATTGTAAGTGGTGTTTAAACTGTTACTTTGTTTAACCACTGGTTGCAGACAGGCAGAGTGTACAAAGTGAAATTTGGCCAGCAACAAGTAGCTGATTGGTTTGTGGAATAGTGGCCAGTCGGCAATGAAAAGAGCCATTGCCCTGTGTAATTGGGTCCCAGGCAGTTGAACAGCTTATGGGTGTAAATGATGCTGTCAGAGGCCTTCAGGAAGGAGGCTTGTGCATCTCTCTGCAGCATAAAATACCTGAACATGAAGAAAGTTCTCTTCTCCCCCTGGTTGCTGGAGGTTGTTGCTTTTAATCTATAATTCAGAGTCTTAATCATTAGTGAACCAGTCGCTCTTCCTTTTAAGGAAGTGGAAACTACCTAGAAAAGAGAGACTGAGGAACATGAAAATCCTAGAAAGTAAAAAGATAATCTGACTGAACCCTATGGGCAGGAACCTTACCCATTCTTTTTCCCTCCACCCCTTAACACCATTTTTTTATTGTCAGAAACTGGAGGAGGTATAAGGTTTAGGGTAAAAGTTCGGCACAACATTGTGGGCCGAAGGGCCTGTACTGTGCTGTATAGTTCTATGTTCTATGTTCTATGAATAGCATTTCACCTTTGATTAAGGACTTTACAGCCTTCCAGTCTCAACATTAAAGTCAACAATTTCAGATCATAACTAACATTTTTTTTTTGACAGCATATCTTGATAATGATTAGGCCATAAAATTATGCCTCCTGTGGATGCATTTTTAGATCCTTTATTTTTCATATTAACATCCCTTTTCACCTTGAACCTTCAAGGTTATAATAGGCATCTTTCATTCTTTTGGCCACTATTCCACCTTATCCTTTTTAACCCAACCTCATTACTTGCTTAACACTTACCACAACTCTAATCTTTTCCAGTTCTGATGAATGATCATCAACCTGATTTAACTCTATTTTTCCTTCCACAGATGCTGTCTGACTTGTTGAGTACTTCCAGCATCCTCTGAACATATTTCAGATTTCCAGCAATTGCAAAATTGTAAATTTGAAGAAAAAAATTGATACACCTCAACAAGGAGCTATAGGTTGTCTTTTGCTCCTGGTGTGTTTGCAATTTACAAAACATAAATATATGTACATTTTGTGCATAATTGTTATGTAACTGAAGTGCTACACTTAAAAAAATGGCTATAATCTAAATTAGAATCTGTATGGTTGGAGGTAAGAAATGGGAGGGGAGCAATGACTTTGTTGGATATTTATAATGGACCTTCAAATAGTGGGGAGAAAGGTGAACAGAGCATTTATACATAATAAATGGAAATCTGCAGGTCATGTAGGGTTGTGATAATTGGAGATTTCAATTACCCAAGTGTAGAGTGGGACAAAGGTAGAAGTGGGGCACAGAAGGGAAGAAAATCCTGCAAAGTGTGCAGTAGAACTTTCTGGAATAGTCCATTTCCAGTCCTACTAGGGAGTCTGACCAGATCTGGTCCTAGGAAATGAGGCATGCCAAGTGGAAAACATCAGAGTGGGGGAGCATTTGGGAAATGGTAATCATAACATTATTATAAGGTTTAATATTAAAGTTGGAAAATGATTAATATTCTAGACTGGAAAAAGGCAGATTTTAGGGGTCGAAAAGTTGAACTGGTGCACATTGATTGGAAACACATTTTGGTGGATAAAACTGTGTATGAAAGTTTGGAGAATTTCACAAGAGAGACGAATAGGGTGCAAGCTAGGCACATACCACTAGAAATAAATACTAGGTGTCCAAAGCTGGAAACCCTGTATGACTAAGGATACTGATGAGAAAATAAGGAAGAAAAAAGAAGAATATGATGCATACTGGAATAATAATCATAATAGAAATCAGGAAGACTGTGTCAAATGCAGAAGAGAGGCCAAGGCTAGAATAAGGAAGGCTAAGAGGAAGCACGAGGAAAGGATGCCAGGCTGCACTAAAACAAACTGTAAAATATTCTTCAAACATGTCAATATGAAAAGATTAGTGAAGGATAGAGTGGAACCCATAAGGAAAAAGCAGGACAAGCTGCTCACTGAAGCAAAGGGTAAAGCAAAGATACTAAATAAGTACATTGCTTCTGCCTTTAACAAATTAGAAAATGGTGAAATGGATCAGTTGAAAATGTAGGTTTTCAGCAGCTTAGGAGTATGGTCTTAGATAAAGAAAGCTGACAGTCAAGAAGCTGCCAGGCCGAGATGGATGCATCCTAGATTGCTGAGAGAGGTTTGGCAGCAAATTGTGGAGTCAGTTACAGAAATTTTACAGCATGAGTTCTTGTGGGACGGAAGGATTGCAAATATGATGCCATTATTTAGGAAAGGGGCAAACAATAACCCAGGAAACAAGAGACCTTTCAGCTTCAATGGTGTGAAAACTGATGGAGGTTAAATACAGGGTAAAGTAAATACACAATTAGAGAAAAATAAGTTAACACTAGATAGTCAACATGGCTTTGTCAAGGGCAGGTCATGACTGACAAATTTAACTGAGTTCTTTGATAAGGTGACACAGGCAGTGGATTAGGGTAGTTCTGTGGATGTTGTATATTTGGACTTTCAGAAAGCTGATACACTGCCATGTGGCAGGTTGGTTAGAAAATTACAAATGTTTGGGATTGGTGCATCTTTGGTAGCATGGATTAGAAGTTGGCTAAAAGATTGGAAACAGAAGGTAGTTATAGATAGGCATTTCTAGATTGGTGATGAGTTGAAAGTGATGTTCCCTAGGGATTGGTGTTGGGACTTTTGTTTCTTTTTCAGATTTGTACAAATAATTTGGAGATGGGTGTTGAGGGCAAAATCTCTAAATTTGCAGATGATGCTAAGCTAGGGATAATGGTGAATTGTGAGGATTGAGATTTCAGAGCGACAATGACAAATTGTCCAAATGGGCAGACACCTGTTAAATGAAACTCAATGCAGAGAGATGTAAGATAATGCATTTTGGTGCAAGAAATATGGGGAGACAATACACGCTAAATTGTATAACTTTGAGGAGAATACAGGAGCAGTGAGACAACAGGGTTCACGCGCATTATTCTTTGAAGATGGCCAGGCAAGTTGAAACAGCTGTTAATTGGCTTACTTTTTATAAATAGAGATTAGAGTATGAAGGCAAGGAAGTGATGCTGCACCTCTACAAATCATTGGTCAGACCACATTTGGAGTATTTGGAGTTCTGGGCTCCTTATTTAAAGAAGGATGTTAAAGCCCTGGAAGAGTGCAAAAGAGATTTACTAGAAAGGTGCCAGGAACAGGGAGTTTAGATACAAGGAAAGATTAGGGAAATTGGGTTTATTCTCATTGGAGCAGAGAAGATTAAGAGGTGACCTCATTGGAGTGTTCAAAGTTATGATTAATTTTGACACAGCAAAGACGGATATTCTGTTTCCACTAGTTGGTATCACAGTAACTAGGAGTCATAATTTCAAGATTGTCAGCAAGAAAGCTAGGAGTGATATGAGGAGAAACTTCTTTACTCAGAAAGGCATTTGCCTGGGAGAGTGGTGGAGGTGGATACCAAAGAGAGCTGGATAGATATTTAAAAGTGATTAATTTAGAGGGCTATGGAGATCGGAATGGGGAGTGGGACTAGCTGTATAGCTCTTTCAGCAGCTGGTACAGAGACAATGGGTTGAATGGCCTCCTTCTGTAGTATAAAATTCTATGATTCTTTTAAATCCTTTGGGATGACCTGAGGTTCTCTTCTCTTTCAGTGTGAATAAGATTTTAAACTGAAGATGGAGAATGTAGAGAAAGTAGCATCACATGTTGAAAGTGTAAATGTTCATCATTAAAAGAATACTTACATTCCCTGCAAGCGAATCCACATTTTCTCAGGATTGTCTGGTTTTAGGAACTCAAGAGAGCTGTTGTCAAATTCCTTCATCTCTGCAGGCGATGTTTCCATGGTGAAAATTCTGGGATTAAATAGCTACAGTTAGACTCAAGCTCAACAACTTTAAATATCCCTCAGTGCATGGTATTTCCCAACAGCCACATTTCACAGTACATTCCATTCAAAATATTTTGTTTTAATAAAGGATCACAATGCTTTTCCTGTACTGCAAGTGTGAACTTTCTTGACATTGTTCTTGAATGTAAGGCAGTGCTAGAATTTAAAACAGCAAAGCAAGCACAATTATTGAGAACAGCTGGATATTAAAATGGCAGAGCCATATTTTTAATGAGGTATTTGCAAAAAGTCAACATTTCAAATTCTCCAAATAATCTATTTTCAAACAAATACAAAAGATTTAGATAATGCTTACAATTCTGATGAAGCTACTTAAAGATTAGGATTAGAGGAAGCACAAAGAAGTGGGTCATTACCATCACTTCCCTGTACTCCTCTTAAAGATAGAAACAGATATGTGCAGCGCTACATAAAAGCAACAAAAGAATGAATCAGTGAAAAGAATACAGGAACAGATCAGACATCTCAGCAGAGACAACATCACCTTTGAAATCATAAATCCAGGTAAGATGGAAACCATGGAGCTCCACAAGTTGTTATTTAAGAAATACACGTAACAGCTAATGTTGAAGTCACAATTATTCACCCTCTCCTAGCAACTCTGCTCAGTAGGTACTGTCAATTTAACCAAGAGAGTTAGTAGCTGCACAACTCTGTCAGTGCACTGCGTCCTCTGAAATGTGTCTGCAAATCCCCCATCTAAGCTCTATTTGAATATATTTTATTGGAAATACAATGTAAGTTCAATAAATATTAAATGCTAAAACCCTTATTTTGGCAGAGATGTCACACCTTTTAAGTTACAGGCACTCACAAGTAGCAAGATCTGTAAAATCCCTCATTCTCAAATATTATAAGAAGGTTAACGAAATATAAAGATCAGTTAAAAAGCAAACAGGAAGTGTGCATGATTTGTGAAATGTGTGACACTAAAATCTAAAAGATTGCAAAGCCTATTTATTTCATAAATTTTCTGCATTCATCTTTAGCAAACACAAACTGACCTTAATTCCTTCCAGGCTGGAGCACATCAATTTCAATTCTACTAAAGCTCTATTGTACTACATCCTGCCAGTCACCCAATCGCATTGATTGTTAATGGTTGCATTATTACAAGTGTCTGATGTGAAACTATAATGCAGCAAACAAATATAATTTCATATGATACACAGGCAAGTGACCAAGGTGGCAATATATGTTAAAATTTAACTTCGATGAGGTGGTTCCTCATTGTAGGAAGCTGTGTGTAAATTGACTGCCACAGTCAGTCAGATCACCACACTCCGAGGTAATTGATTGTATGTGATGCATTTGGGATCTTTTCAAGAGATCTGATCGGTGCTTTACATACAGATCATATTCCTTTCTTTACTATATTAACTTCCTACCTCTCAGACCTGTTCATCTGCCTGACAATATATATCTCAACAAATCAGAAAGTGTTACTAATAACAACACTTGGAGATTTGTCTCTATATGCATAACTTTGCAATGCAGTTCTTCTAATTTTCCCCATTCCACAGTTACTATTTCTATATCATAATCTGCTTTGTTATCAACAAGACTGTGATATGAACCATACTAGAAAGAAACTTGAGAAGTGAAATAGAATGGGGATCAAATAAAAACATTACAAAAGTACAGCAAATGAGACAGTCAAAACAGTGACTAACAACAAAATGAATAGTTGCACGCAAGTCTCTCCAAAACAATGAACTGTCAAAAAAACCCCTCAGATTTGGAGATTCTGACTTGTTTGATTTCACTTCAGGTTTTGACAGCAGTACAGGAGATATTGAGTCAGGCTCCATGTCAACCAGAAATCCAAGTACAGAAATCAACAGCAAACTATTCAGTTTTAAATATCATAATTAGAACATCAGAAGGCACAGGCTAGATCTGCAGAACCGATAAGTAGGAAAGGCAAACTTTCCTGTTTGATGTGTTTAAGGGCTAATATCTCAGTATTCCCATGCCCTAGGATTAGCTATAAAAATCTAAAGCTACCAATATGGAAAAGAGCCAGTGCTGTACTATCCAATGGTATCAATGAATGTCAAGTAGCATGTGGCTGTGCAAAGTCATTTGATAATATTTATCCATAATATAGTTGACAAAATAAAGTTATTCTTGAGGTTACGTATCTTTTAAACCTAAATTGAAAATTACAGATAAAAAAAGGACCATCGATACAAGATTGCAGTTCCCATTGGAGTACAGAATGTAAAATGGCAGCCTCAGCATTGAAGATTAGCACAACTTACATTCAAATAGAATTGGTCTGTAGGAAAGTCATCCAAACTCTCTCTCCATTTTTATTTCCTCTGGTTTAACTGGACATTACATCATTTATTTCTCAGAAAATGGGTCAACCACCCTGTGGCCAGGTCTTCATAAGCTGTTTCAAGCTGACTACCAGGAGATATGGAAGTGCAGCTTGGGAATCTATCTCTTTGTAACTATTCCCTCCACCTTGAGGAACCATCTGGCTGCCATTTGGTTCCCCTCACAGAAGCACAGCAGAGGTCAGGGCTCGCTATATTTGGGATTTAAAGCTTTTTTTTTCCAACACTACAGAATGAGAAATGTCAGTGCTTTAACAGCAGCTGTCAGTAGTTTCCAACAATACATTTCTTCCATCTCCTTTGTTTCATAAGATACCTTATTCCACATATGCAAAGCAGAAAGTGAGCAAATAATGCCATTGCAACTAAACAGCATAGTTAAATGATTTGACTCATCTGTTTCCTCTTCAAATTTAACAGATTGCCTTGTTTTCTCATATTGCCTCTTCCACACATTCCTTGAGCAAAGCAGTAGCTGAATATTTGGGAATCACAGACAGAATCCAAGTACCATCTGCACAGTTTGTTACCTAGATTACTTGTTTGTTAAGATACTATCAAATGTCAGTGGAGACTGGTTTACCATAGGAGTGCTTCATTTAAGTCAATATATGAAAGATGTTCGTCAAAAATATAGAATTCACCATTTACCCCTAAGCATTCAGCAACAACTTCAAGTGTCATCATTATCTGGTGGGTACTATACTGTTACAGCAGATCTTTTTTCACTAAAACATTATTTCTTCTAAAAGTGTAAAATCATAATGACCATGGCAACTGCTTAAGTTAGACAAGGCTAACTTTGAAATTAAACATTAATGCAGACAATTTATTCAAAACTCAATAGAATGTATCATCAAAAAATACAACAAAATAACAAGGTGGCCCAATCTGCTTCCATCCTAAACCACTGTGTCAAACATATGGAATGGTGAGTATTAGCTACAATGCCGAGAAAAGCAGTGCCCACAATTTGAAGCAATGCTGAATTGGAAGAAGACACTGGATAGAAGGTTACTGAGGGGATGACAAGAGACTAAAAATCAGGGCTCTCCATGCTCCATAAGTTCACTCCTTCTAAGTTTTAAATCATGTTAAAAGCAGGGATATGAGTCAGTTCATCTGCCCATCAGGGTCAATTTGCAGAGATGGATTTAGGTCATGTTGGATATAAAGACATTAAAAATCTGAAACCAACATCCAACAGCCCTCCCTCTCTGTTATTCACAGAAGTTGAACTTATAGGAACAACCAACGAGTCTGCACCAATAAAACAGTTAGTAATTTTCATACTGGGCCCCTCCAATTTTCTGTTTAACCCTCAACGGATGTCTTTCCTGTATAACAGAAAACCCAGTAGATCAAGGGTGATAAGGACTGTTGCATGGAAGATGCAAGTATTTTTCCAGCACTGTTTGTGGACTAAGGGGAGCAGGAATCCTTCTCTAGAAGTTTAGCTGCTTCAATTTGCCAAGATCAGACCATCCTCCACCTAGCTGCAGACCCTATCCCAAGCAATCACTTCTCCAGTAGTTGGTTCCTTAAGCTGTACCTGGAGTGCAGCCTTCTCTGGTGTGCATGCTGCTCCACACAACAATAAGCAAAGACTGTGCCGCCTGATGAAAAGACAGACAGGAAATCAGGGTCACAATTCTTCTCTTAAGCTCACTGAGTCCACCCCTGTCAAGATCATGGTCAAAATGTGACATTTGAGAATTGCAATCAAAAAGGGTACCGATTAAAGGTTCTTGAGTAGATTTGTAGCTCGGAATGTGGATGCTGTGGTTGGTTCACTCACCGAACTGGTTCATTAGTTTGCAGACGTTTCATTACCCTGCTGGGTAACATCATCAGTGCAGCCTCCGATGAAGAGACAACAAGGTGCAGGGCTGGACGAACACAGCAGGCCAAGCAGCATCATAGGAGCAGAAAGGCTGACGTTTCGGG